CGGCTCATGTTCAGCCAGCTGTCGACCAACACCCCCAGGTCCTTTTCCTCCAGGCAGCTTTCCAGCCACTCTTCCCCAAGCCTGTAGCACTGCATGGGGTTGTTGTGGCCAAAGTGCAAGACCCGGCAAAGTTCCTTACAGAGTGCTTTCAGTATCCGTTTTGAAGGAATAACTCTGTTGGCATCACAGTCAGTAATAACCTGTAGCATTGTAAGCTCTGTGAGGGAACCAGAAGTGCTTTCATAGGACCTCCAAAAGTCAAGAAACTAGCTGTGCTTCCAAAGTATCTATGGTTACATATAATAAGTGAGAATCCAGTGTGACTTTTAACTGTTGTTTTTAGAGGCTTTTGAGAGGTGGTAAGGAAATGAGTTCATAGAAGAATTAAGGTAACAAACTTGCAAAGTTTTCTCTGTTCAGCAGAAAGAAGAAATATTACAGTTTAATAGTACAAAGCTGGATCCTTTAATTCATTTGTTAATGACATCTTTACTTCCCATTTCCTGTACTCTAAAAAGTTACTCAGTAATGTAAGTAGAAGGCAACATATTTCTTTTTTCCTGAGGCCAAAGAGAAACCATGGAGTATTTCGGAATGGTAGCTGAAACCCAAAAGACAACATCAAAACATAACTACACATTCTTGAGGCTTCTGGAAAGCAATATTCCCAAATGTAAAGTTCATAATTGAAAATAAATGCTCTAGCTCTTATGCCTACAACAAGCAATTTTAGAAGCGTAGATGTGTGAAATGAAAAGAAGAATACTTGCCTTGTTGAGGGAGTGTCTATGGTATAGTTGTTTTTGCTTGCATGGTGTTCCCCAACCTGGCTGTAAAGCAGTCAGTTCTGGGTCGTGCAGAGCTGAGCAGAGGCTGTAAAAACCCACTTGTGAAGCTGTGGAAATCTACTGAGAGGATGACCCACTTTAAGTCCCATTTTTGTTGTGCTGAGACTACTAGCTCTACCCTTTAACGCTAGCTCAGATGAAGCATTACAAGCAGTGATTACATCCGTTACAAGCAGCAGTGTAGACATACGTTGGGCCTGCAGAAAGCTTAAACCCTGGGTTCAGGAAGGAGTGTGAATGGCTCTGCAGCTCCCGCTGGGTGATAAATCTTCAGAACTTTGAAAAAGTAGGTAGCAAACTTGGCAACTATTTAACAACAGAGTAAACTAGTAGATATATCAATTGAAAATGCTTTTCTATCATTTTAGGCAAAGTGACAAGTAACAGGGTCATACTAAAGCATTAAGATTGCTGCCAAGTATTAGTAAAGTAGGTAATATAGGGTTGAAATCTCTCGAGGCTGAACATTAAAACCCATTTCTGTCTCTGTTCGGAATGAGATACAGCTGCATTTCCTTGATTGCCTCACATGCACTATGCTAAGAGAGTGTCAAAGACTGTATCACTTTAACTGAAGGTTTTGTTTGCTATCCTTTACTATCACTAGCTACAGGACCACAGTTCAGCCCTGTAATCAAAGATTGGTAAACTCATGTCCAACCGCCTGACACCAAACTCTGAGCTGCCTAAAGCTGTTCCAGGCCACAAGTACCAAGGGACTGTTAAAATATGACCTATTACTGTAACTAATTTAGCTAGAAACTTGTTAATCATCTGAGAGCAGGCAGTGTTTGAAACTTGATGATGATGTGTAGTGCCTTCTAAAACCATCTCTCTTCTTTGCATTGCTTTCTCTTTAGAATTCCTTTCTTCTCTCTATTCAATAGAATTTAAATAATTCAGTGTACTCGGTATTTGGTCAGATCAGGAACATTGTATTTAACATTCTGATGAATATACCTTGCTCCCTTTGCAGAAATAAACTTGTAAAGTAAGTCTAACAACCCAACCTATATAACTAGCAAGTCATTTTTCCCCATGACAGCTAAAAGCGAGCTTGAGGAATGAGGCACATCTCCATCACTTGCTTGTGTTTCTTGTCCTGTCTCTGCAAATGCATAAGCTTCATCCTCTGGATACAAAGGCTATGAATCACTGTGAATAATGGTATGGCTGAGTAGCACCATCTGTGTAAGGGGCATGTAGGAGTCTGTGGGGAGACACTGCCACAGGAGAGCTCTGCTCTTAACACAACCTGCTTTTGAAGAAGGCCGAACAGGGTTAAGGTTGAACGAAAGGCAAATTGCTAGTGTCTTGCTCTGGGATGTTGATACTTTAAAAACACAAAGGGATGTGTTTCCTCTCATTTTTGAGGGCAAAAGCAGTTAGGAAGTGTTTGCTTTGGGGCTTTTTTTTATTTTCTTCCTTATCACTATTTTAAGCACAGCAGGACATGTTTTCTTTGGTAGAGAGACTGGAAAGGAAAAAAAAAGTGCACTTGAATTTTAAAAGACCTGGAAGAGATTTCTAGAGGCATCACATGCAGCAAAAATACCATTTGCAGCAAATCTGTCTCCTGACTTCTGTGAAACTGAACTTTCTACCTGAGGTTTTCTTCTTCATCCTAATGTGTTTTTTTTGCTCTGTAATAGTGCTGCAACGTGCCTGCCAGCAGCACTCCGGGTCCTGAGTCCCCTGCCCTTATGGGTCAAGCAATGCACTCCAGGCTTGAACAGCAGAGTGCCCCTGGCAAACTGTTTCTTGCCCTCATACAGAAAAATGCCACATCTCTCAGCAGTCACTCAGGTTCACTCACTGGTCACCTCCGTAGCTCTTCACTTCTTCATTCCCTGCTCACTTCACACTGTGAGCTGACATACCATCAGTCAAACAATTCTTTGCACCATTAAGCACTTGTCAGTTTACATCTTTCTTACTCAGTAGCTACAGCAAATGAAAAGCTTAGCTTCTGATTCTTCCTATACAAAATTCCCTCTTTTTGCAGCAAAAGGGTATCATACTTTTCCCTTTCGCCACTGATCACCATGGCTTTATATCCCACATGCATTGATCCCTCTTCTCTTGTGGATGATCGTTCTTCCGGATGTGTCCAGGTAAGTTCCTAATGAATAGGTTTGTCCTATCAAAAGTTTCATGCGGGATGCTATGTTATCACAGAATGCACCATGGAAAAGGGGGAGCACTGGGTTTTCTTATTCTCCTAGTCTCATACAAAGGCACTGGGGATTTATGCATTCCCAGCACTAAGGCTGGAACACAGGAGAGATGGGACCCAACCCTGGCGTCAGCTTGTGTAACTCTGTTCAGGAGGCACATTGCCCGGTGCCCGATGGCATGTGTACAGCTTGTCCCCTCATTTCCCACATCCCTTGACACGCTGACCAAACGTGGTCATCTTTTGCCCAGGAATGTTTATATCCTCCCGCCTTCTCTCATCCTCTTCTTAGCTGGCCTGAAGACATGCCTAAATCACAAGGGCTCTCTCATCATGCTCTAATACTAAGGAATGCTTTTGGAGGCGGGGGTGGGCCATGACTTATTTTTGAAAGTGGTTTTCCTTTTCAGTATCCGCCTTTTCTGTCTTTGTGCCAGGCTAGCGGTGAAGGTTTTAAGGAGTTCCCAGAAGGAACTTTTAGGAAATGGCTTATTCTATTTGCAGAAATTCTTAGCATTTATAAAACCTCTATATGCAACCTTGTTGTCATGCCTCTGTCAGTATACTCCCACTGTGTAAAGAGATTGTTTTTCTTTCTCTTTCTCTCTCCCTCCCCCTTCCCCATGGGTTTCCTATTTTAGCCCCTATGCATCTACTTGCACTCTTGTGCTCTTTCCTCATCCTTACGTACTGCTTCCCACTTTATACAGCTACTGAAATGACTGTGGGAGTTTTAACTATTTAAAGAACTGTTCTTAGATTCATATGTCAATTGATCAATAAGTCATCAGTCAGAGATTAGTGCTGGCAACAAATACACTGGTATTGTAAAAAGTAGACTTTCTTTTTGTACATTTATTGGGATTTTAGACTATGGATACCTTACACTGGTGTGATTAAACCTCTCCAGTCCCTGAAGTAGAAGCCCGAGACAAAAATCTTGCATGTTTATACAATGTGTTCAGATTTTCAACATTTTGAGATGCAGCAGCAAAGCAAAATTTATTTCCTTTGAAGGAATCCGTACACTTTATCGAAGATACTGTCTCTTATCAGAGACAGAAAGAACAGTGATATTTTTATACAGGTGTGGGATGTCAGATCTTGGAATTATGGTGTTGGGATTAAGGAGGCATTTTAGTTTCCAATTTGGTTCTGGTGGGGTATTAATAGCAGAAGCCACAAAGTATTAGTCTTGGAGGCTAGCTTTCACTACTATCTGAAATCAGGACTTCTAAGGCCAACATCTGAGATTTCTGGTAACAAAGGAACCTGAAAATCCATACAGTCCCGTGATAGCAGAGCGGCTGGGTGACAGTCAGGCTTAGCCTGACCTCAGCCTTGCGTCCTGCCTGAGTGCAAATCAGCACCTGAACAGATTGCCAGTAGCTGAAGGTAGCTCTTGTGGGAAGAACAAAAAGTACTAATTTACATTTGCAGTGGAAAAAAAAGATGTCTTAAACCATGGCATTGTGCAATGGAAACAGACAGCCAGCTTCCAGTTTCTATTCAGTAATGCTTTGATATAAGGTATGCTTCCTTTTTCCCATAACTCACCTACTAGAACTGTAACTGAAAATTCCTTTTTCTTACAGCCACAGTAAAACCAGGCCCAATGCATCTTTTTTTTCCATTTTAAACATGAAGAATGAGATCTGCTTAGGCTGCAGTTGCCACTGCAGAAGTAACAGGCTGCGGTATTTCAGACTCCTGAACAAAGCTGACTATTGTACTCTGTGGATGGACCAAAAAAACCTTCTGTCTTTTTTACCTTTTCTCTCCCCACCCTCCCCTTGTTTTTTTTTTTTTTTGTTTTTTGTTTTCTTTTCTTTTTAACCATATGTCTTAATGTATCTATTGCCCATCAGCATTATATTTATACCCCACTACGTATAGGATCGGTGAGTGGGTTCTGGGAAAGTCACTACATTATCTCTTGGTTTACAGCACTAATTTAATGAGCACTCCTGCACAAAAAGGTCTAGAAGATTGTATTTCCTCCAGTTTCTGTTTCAGGGACACAGTAACTTCGGCACATAGGGCACCCAACACTCCTTTGAAGTCCTGCAACTCCTCTTTCTGGGCAGCTGAAAATAGCATTAAGCAGTGGTACCTTGAGAGGTTCATTCTCCTGTTGCTTGCCTCGGAGCGATGCCCTTCCTGCCCTGCCCTTGTGATAGGTTTGCTGTTGACTCTCTTTCAACCACAGCATCTGGTTTATAGCTCTTGTGTGGCCCACTCCATGTGCAAACTGTGTCAAAACCAAGCAGAAGTTCTTGTAGCCAGAACAAGGAACAGGAGAGACCTGACCGTCCTCTCTTGGGCTGTGCTGTGCTGGCACGGGCCCTGCAGAAGGGTACTTTAAGTCATTCTTGTACAGAATAAAAGGAAAATCTGACCTGATGTTCACTCAGGGAAGAGCATAGGAAGAATAATAAAGCAGAAAGGGTTGGAAATATTTTATATTAGTCAGCAAAGGAAGGAACAGATATAGCTCCTCCTCTTTAATGATTCTAGTCAAACTTATATGAACACAGGAATTGGGATTATTTTTTTAAGAAAGTTTTTGTTCAAGACCTTCTGAACAGAAGTTTTTGTACAATTGGCTTAATTCTAATTTCAAGACATTCAATTATGTGAATTGTTGGACTTCACTGTGGACTGGGGTACTGTATTGTACTGCAGCTGTAGCATCTGGTGTTTTTGCTACAAATTAGATAGTAAGACTCACTCAGGATTGTGATGCTCTTGGGCAGACTCCATAAATTTACTCATAAACCACAACTTCACTTTTTTTTCATTTGTGTCACAGCACAGGATCAAAGCTCCATTATTCTTCAACAGTTTCCCCTTTTTCAAATTGCATACTTGCTGATGTTTTATATGTTTAACTGTTTCCTAGGAGGAGATCACTTCCAGTAGTGGAACAGATTCCCTAACCAGTGGAGAGATTCCACGGAGCAGGTCAGAGGGGACTTTGATTGATGTGGATGACCGGACACCTTCAGCCAGCTACAGTAAGTCTCTTCTGATATTTTCTGTACTAAGGGTCTCCACCTAAAGTCTGTATTATTTCTGCAAAACTCTCAATATTGTTAAGAGCTATAGCTACTCCGTAAACCCCTGTACATGTTGGGTTGTTGTTTTTTTTTTTTTAATTTGTGGGGGTTTTATATTGTGTTTTGCACTACTCAGGCCATTGTAGATGTCCCTGGAGTCAGAACACAAGGTGTTGTCACAAGGTCCCCTAGGAGAAACTTACTGGCATATAAGAGAAGTCCTCTGTCCCCTGCCATAGCAAACATGGGTCAAGTAGGTTGGGAGGAAAAGCTGGAATCATTAACCTTACACGAATAAATGCTATTTAGGGTATGTTTACTGGGGGTTGAGACGGGGAAGAGAAGAGGGAGTTCTTAGCCAAACTACATTAATTAAGCTTTTTAAGAACCAGGAAGGCAAGGTAATTTTGGAGTTAGTCCAGTTTAAAAACTGTAGTGTCAGCAAAGTTGATTTAATCTCATTGCTTTTTTAACCCAAAAGTTAAGAAAATATTCCCCTCCACAAGGTAGGCATTCTCTTAGCTTTTTCCCCAGTAGCAGGTGTGAGTAATGGCGAGCCTGGCACTTGTGTGAGCAGGAATTATTTCCTTGCTGACCTCCTGCACCCCAGTAATCTGTGATGTTACTTCGGCATGAGAAAGCATCCAGCCCAATGACTCAGGCTCTGCCAGAGTGCTCTGCTCAGACTTTTCCTGTAGAAACATGCCCTTTAGGATGGGGAAATAAACAAACAAAACCCCTAACGTTTCTTTTGGGATTAATGAATTTATTTTTAATAGAGAATAATGATCTGACTGCAATAGCACCACAGCACAAGGAAAGCTTTTGGCCTGCGGGCAGAAACAAAAGGACTTTTCAGCTGGTGCTTGAGCAGCACAGCCCCGTCTGGTGGCCCTGGCCAAGGCTGGGTGGCCGAGGGGGAAGAGGCTGCCCCTGGGCTCACTCCCCCTGGCAGCTCACCTGGAAGGCTCTTGTCAAGACAATGCTAGAGCTTTGCAGATGGGCAGCTGGGAAGCAGGTAAATTCCACTTTGGGTCTTCCAAATTGGGATTTTTCTGGAACTGTGGAAAAAATTCATGGTTTTGGCTTTTTGTCACAATTCATGACAAATTAAACAAAAAGTACTAAGATTTCAATTTTCTTTTTTTTTCTTTTTGTTGCTGAAGGCACTGTCATTCTTGCAATTGAGCAATAATTAGTAACTTTGGAGATGGAAGGTACTATGGAAAGTGTAATAATGAAGGATATAGATATGCTGAAAGAATAGAAATGCTGAATTTTCCATCTAAAATTAAAATTCTTTACAAGGATGTACAAAAAGGGGATGGTATAAGTTCTGCATATAGAAAAATAATAGCAAACTGAAGTAATAGAAACCCTTAGCACAAAAAGTTGCAGATACTCTATTTGTTGCAAGAAGTGTGAGTCTTAATCAACCTATAAACCAGCTTCTGTGAACAGTTATTAATATAAAATATAAGTACATCTTGTTTTCAGAACAAATAGACTTTACTGTTAATAATGAGTATTTTTATTAGAAAGCATATTGAAATATCACTTATACAACCCTATTTGTCTATTTAAATGCAATCTCAGAAAAATTAGTAGCCGCAAAAATATTTCTCTCCAAATTTCAAATTGTGCAAGACCTCATAAATTATACCAATGAATTTTTTTAATGGAAAGCTAGTATAACAAATTCCACACACACTGAGATAAATTGTAAGAAAGAGTGCTGTTATTAAGTAAATGCAGTGCACTAGTATGAAAAGGAATCCTGAATAATACATTTATCTGTACTGTCTACAGTGTTTGAAAAATGAAACAATAGTTGTTTATTCTTTACAAAGAGTTAGACACAAAGGAAAGAAATCCATGACATTTTGTAAGAGGCCAAAGATTACTGGAATATAAGGGTTTACACCTTGTGGGACCTTAGCATACTAGATGCCAATTAGGAGTCATAGGAGTTGATAACCATCAGCACCTTGCAGAAGATGCTTTACATCCTTCAGCACTAATTTGTTAGCACTCTTTCTCTTAACAGATTCTTAATGCTACTTAGAAATCAATATTGATACTCTTTAAAAACCTTAAGGAGAAAGATATAAATGATCTATATGTATTTTAGGAGAATAAATTTAGTCACCTGTTAGCTTAACAGACTATTAGTTGGAAATGAATGGAATGTCTCAAGTCTCTGTGCTTTAGGAAATGCTTCTGTTTTTTCTTTTAAACAGGTGTCAATGAAAGTAAATTGGATTTGGATATTGACTGGCCTGGTGTATTCAAACATGCCCACGCTGTTTCCAAGACTAATCCTTTCTGGAATGAACTGTCAGCCTCCAACCCTTTCGTACATGACATAGCTGCTTCAAATAGAAATAAAAATAATAAATACCTTTCGATCTTAAAAGAAAAACCCTATTTGTTCTCTAAAGTTTCTAGCAACAGGGATTCTTTGGCTTCCTCAGGTGATGAGCTAGATATTGACTGTCTTCTAAGAAAGACTTCAGCAAGAAGATCTGGACGATCCAAGAGTGTCTCTGACTTTCTGGATATTGTTGATAACCAAAGATTTAATCCTCACAAGACAACACCTCAAAAAACTATACCTTCAGATGTGACATGGCTTCAAAATGACCGTGAAGCCTACAAGATGGCTTGGTTGAGTCACCGACAACTCACCCGATCTTGCCTAGATTTAGAAGCCATGAGCCATAGTCCTGGATGGGCACAAACGCAAGCTACAGACATTCATGTAGTTTGTAAACTGAATCATGAAGGAGGTTCAGTACAGCTACCTGACTCGGATATCAACATTCATGTCCCTGTGGGTCATGTATTACCTGGGGAATTCCAAGAAGTTGGTTTAAAGGCTATCCTTAACCCTCCATCGTCGTTTAACAATGAGCTGTCTATCACCGTAAGTCCTCTGATAGAACTTACGCTGAGCAACCTCAACACGAGGGAAGCCATTTTCCTAGAGGTGAAAGTTGCGGCTAAAGTGAAGAATGATCCACTCAGCCAAGTTATGAGTGATATTGTGTGTTTTTATAGCCTCGATAAAGAAGGGCCTTTTAAGAAGCTAGAGAATTGCTACACTTATCAAGATACAATACAAGTGAAGCTAAGGGACCTAAGTCACGTGATGTATGCAGTGATTGCCGTACAAGCAAACAAAATCCAGCCTCCAGCAACTAATGTCTGGGACTATGTTCAAAGAACAATCTCAGTTGGAATTTATGGTCCCAAATATATTCATCCAACTTTTACAGCAGTTTTTACAGTTTTTGGTCATAACTACATTCCAGGAAAACTCACAATTTGTGATATTAGAAAGGGGGGGAAAAATATGCCTCCTGTTGTGTTTCAGCTGTGGGGAAAACATACATTTCTGCTTGAAAAGCCACAAGATCTAAACATTTCTTTGGTATCCTGTGATCCAGATTTTGAAGTGAAGATGGAAGACCAAAGCAAAAATATTAAAGAGGAGGAGCTGAAAACTGGTGAAATGGTCCGCCAACAATTCCTGTTTTCCATGCTTGGATGTCGGGAGATGCATTTCTTTGTTTTCCTCGTTCAGATTAAAGTCTTAAAAAGTAGCCAAGTAACGCAGTTCCATGTTACAACTCCTGATCCAGCTCCAAAATTAAGTGGAATTATCAATAGGCCAAAGCGCTTACAAAACCGCAAAGAAATCAAGTCTGCACCTTTGCTTTTAATACCAACAGTTAAATATCCAAAGTTTCAAGATAAAACTTTGAGTGTTAATACTTATGGAGTGGCTTTGAAAACTGTGTTGCGTCAAAATAAGATTGACTATTTGCTAGAATATTTTAAAGGGGACACAATAGCAATTCTTGGTGAAGATAAAGTAAAAGCCATTGGACAAACTAAAATAAAAGAGTGGTATGTAGGAGTTCTCAGAAAAAAGATTGGTCTTGTACATTGCAAAAATGTAAAAGTGATTTCCAAAGAACAAGCTATGGACACTGCTGATAGTGAGCTAACAACCAGGAATCTTGTTGAACAAATTGCATTGCCATTCAAAAAACTGACTTACATCTACTCAGTAGTTCTGTCGACAGTATCAGAGAGTGTTTATGACTGGAGAGCTTTGGCTGAGGTACTAGGATATTCACACATGTCTTTGGATGACTTTAATGAGGCACACGCTGATAAAGAATCAGAGAGAGTTGCGCATGTTGTGAAGAGGATGAAGGAAGACTGCCATGCTAACAAAAAAAAAAGACTATTTCTTTATGAGCTCATTGTTGTAAGTATTGCATGAACTAACTTGGTTATTGGGAATGGATTGCCAAGAAACTACTCGGTAGTAATGTGTGAACAAGAAAACATGGTCTTGCACCCTTGTGGGAATCTTTACAAACCTGAACTCATTACTAAAACTTGTAGACACCTATAGATGGAAAATACATCCAGCCTTTCATGAAGAATAATACTTCGATGAATTCATTCTAAACAGTGTTCTGTAAATGTTTCAGGAACCTTGCTCATTTAGTTGGTTGACTGAGTTGATTTTTTTTTTGTTTTTAAATGGCCATGATTGAAATAATTTTGTCTTTTGTCATGGAAGTCATCAAGGTAAATTGCTTCCCTGAGCAATTCACATTCCCATTGTGAAGTATTTAGTAACCTTATAGTGTAGAAACTCCATTATTTATATATTTTGTGTACCCTAAGGTGCATGTCTAAGTTTGCTTCATACTTTTAAAGCGAGGAAATCCCAATACACATGTTGAAGACAAGTTTTTCTATCCACACATGACAACTTTATAGTCAATGTTGTAGTGACCTAAGGACAATATTGCAAGTATTTCAGCACATATTTTCATGGTCCTCATTTGTAAGCCACTGGACAACTTCTATGTGATTCAATACTGCTACATGTGAATCAAAAGTGGTTTTATTCTAAATGCTTCCAGGTAATAGGTTGCATTGTTAACCATCTTAGTTTACTTACAGATCTGTGCACAAATTAATTTGGAATTAATGGTTACTCAATACTGTCCTTGGCTCTGACTGAAAAGTCTACCAGCCTATTTCGGGACAGAAGAGAATTAAATTCCTCATATGAAAATAAAGTATTATAAAAATGGGTGTTTAAAAAGTCACATTGTAGCCTTTCATCTAAAACCTTTTGACTATCCTGAATTGCAAACCTTAACAGGGTTTACTTCTCATAACTACTCTACCCTTTGAAGTGCTGACAGCAATTTCAGCAGGATTCAGAAAATTTTGGTAGCAGTGGCCACTTACAGTTCTTAAGACTGCATTGAACTGTGTGGAATAAAACTGAGCAAGTATGAAGTACAGTTTAGTCTGCCGTGTCTCTGTACAAAAAGGGGGGGGGGGGGGGTTAAGGGGGGGGAGTTAAAGGTGAAAATGATCCAAACTTTTAATTGAATACAGTGAAACAAAGAGTTCGTTACAGAACAGGCAGAAGGTGGGGCATAATTAGATTAACAAGATGTCCCATTTTGTTGAGATGTATATGATTTTGAGCTATGAAGTGCCAATGCAGGTCCCTGTCTTTGTAAAGCTAGACTTAAAGCTAGATATCATCCATGGCACTTTTGGGTAGAACTTACTCGTTATTTCTTTCAATTAATCTCCTATTTTTATGTTTAATAGGGTTCTTGATTATCAGAGCAAAGGCAAACTGAACAACTTTATCTCCACTTTGCCAAAGTATAGGGGGATTTGGTACTGTACACTATAGTCTGCTTCTCACTACTGTGACTTCAGTATTTCCTTCTATAGAGGCACTAGTATGAAAGAGTTTGGGATCTGTGTTGAGTATTTTCTGGTTAGTTACATTAGACAAATATTTTGCCTACCAAGAGTTCTACTGTTTGCAATGAGGATTTTAATGGAAAAATGTTTTACAATTAAGTCACACAAATGTCTGATTTCTGCAGAAGTGCTTGATATTTTATTGAAAATCAGTATCTAAAAACCAAGGAAAACTTCTGGATTTTGTTCTTGATCTTTCACTGAAAAAGTGAACATTTTCAGTGGAACATTTTTGCTGAGGAGAAGAAAAAACAACACCTCTTTTTGTCATTAGCTGTTATCCAAACTAATAAAGAAAGGAGAATGCAACATATCTGCATTTCAGGGTTTCACTCCTGAAACCATTTTAATTTGCTTGTTATTAAAAGCTCATTTGGCACGGGGGAGGGAAGAGTTTTATGCTTGCATTTCTGCTTAATGGTCAGCAAATTATCAGTTCTGTGGAATTATCAGTTCTGTGGGAGGAGTAAATCAAAAGGTGCTGTCAGTGGAACTTTTGCTGAGGAGAAGAAAAAACAACACCTTTTTTTCTCATTAGCTGTTATCCAAACAAATAAAGAAAGGAGAATGCAACATATCTGCATTTCAGGGTTTCACTCCTGAAACCATTTTAATTTGCTTGTTATTAAAAGCTCATTTGGCACGGGGGAGGGAAGAGTTTTATGCTTGCATTTCTGCTTAATGGTCAGCAAATTATCAGTTCTGTGGAATTATCAGTTCTGTGGGAGGAGTAAATCAAAAGGTGCTGGCTAATGTAATCAATGATTTTCCGGAAAAGCAGTAGACGAGGGACCACCCCTTAGTATAATAGTGCTCTAACTTCATTTTTAAGCTTCATGTCATACTTTTAAGAAGCTAAATTTGATGTCCCAAATATTTTTGTTGGTGAAGCACATTTTTCCTTCAGGATCTGTAAGCTTGGCAGGATCCATGTGACACTGGAACGCTGAAGCAGCTGAATGCCAGCTTAATTTTTTCTTAAGCTCGTGGGCAGTTTTCCTATGAAACTGTTGGCAACACCTTTTTGTAGGAAAAAACGTTACGTATTTATAAGAACACAAAATAAAGAAAAAGCCTTCCTGTCTGCTTAGAAATGCAGAATAATGCTATAAAAACAAATGATAATGTTCTGTTTGTAATTATTGGTGAAGGAACACTAATGAAAATGATTGTTGCAGGCACTTTTAAAAATAGATTGCCAGGGATTAGTGGCACGTCTTACCCAGGACACCATCATTTTGACTTCAGCTGTCAAGCTTGGCAAATACTGGCGTGAGCTTGCGGAGAAGCTGGCCCGACTCACAAAGCAGCAAATCGAGGCTTACGAAGTACCCCACCAAGGGAAAAATGGCGCCGTAGCTCTGGAGGTAAGGCTCTGGTGAAACGGTGTGTGCACACTTGCTCCTCTGCACAAACACAGCCAGGGACGCTTCTTCTTCCTTGCTTTGTGCACTTCTTTCCTTTTGCAGTTTGGCCTCCTTATTTAATTTGTAAGCCCTTCAATGTGAGGAATTCTCACCAACTTTTGCTTGCAATTATCTAGATATTCCTTTGAGGCCAGTGTTATTGTTCAGTGTTATTGTGCCAGATTAATTTGCTGTGGAGGTCCTGGTCTCTGTCTTGAGCTTCAGCTCTTTACTCCCACCCCAAGGGCCACTTTCAGTCCCTTCTTATTGTCCTGTCCACTTGTTAATCTTAATCGCTCCTCTGCTGTCATTTCAGACACAGTGAGGAAGACCATCCAGTCCTTGCAGGAGCCACTTCAAATCACCCTCAGTACAGCTTTTGCTCTTTCCACTGAAAGGAAGCTTACCTTCACTATTAACACTTTTCTGCACCTGTGTAATATTTGTCATCATTTAGCTTAAGTAGCATGACAAGAGGTTAGAAGCTCTGACACCAGTTCCACTTCTGTCCTATTATATGAACATGGCAAATCCATGTTTTAATTTCATAGTTTGTCAGGTAGGTCATGCTATTTATTTTCCTTTGTAAAGCACTCTACTTATACAGAAGAATGAGTTCTAAATAAAAGTCAAGTTGTCCTCTCAGATGTATTTTATTGCATACACATCTAAGGAGCAATTTAGGTGCCTAATTATATCTCTAGTGCCATTTGAGGTGCCCAGAGGTACCCATGGCATCCATGCAATGTCAGATATGTCACAAGACTGAGGGTGGGCCCTCGTCCATGCCTCTGAGCTGAGGGCCATCCTGTGCTCCTGGCACACTTTTACTAGGCAGCCAAGTTGCTTCCTGCATTTCTCTACTCTTACTTTAACACTGAAGCATGCAGTAGATCCACTGTTTCCCACAGAGTTGTGTGCCAATGACTTCTAGGTCCCAGACTGGGTTTTACCCTGAACATCCTCTTTTATAAGTGTTGCTGAATGATGCTCAAGCTGACCTTGCTGCCTTGAGCGCTTACATTCAGGCTCGACTCTCCTTCTGCCTGTACTATCATCCCCTGATTATTGCAGGTAGTGCACATGATCTAGCCTAAATCCCTTCTCTCTCACCTCTCAGTACCAAAGGAATCACTATTTCCCATTCACAGGTTCACAACTACTCAAGATAATTTTTTCTTCCTTTTTCTTTCCCTGTAGCTGATTCTTCCAGTTCTCTGCCAAACATATCCTCCTTTCCACAGTCTGAATCCAGCGAACCTTTCATCTCAGTTTTATCTGCCTGGCGATAGCTATCAAGAGATTTCTGCTCTAATTGTGAACCACCCCCTCTTATTCCCTTTGAATGCTCCACCCTCCCTCCACAATCAATATCTGGCCAAAATTCCATACATTTACTTACAAGGTTCTGCACTTTTCTGCAAAATTATCTCTATCACTGCTGTTTGCAAACACTGCCTCCTCCTCTGATCTTGCTTTTCTCTTTGAGCTATTTTGTGGTTTTGTTTTTTTTTTTTTTAGTTGTTCTGGGTACATTACTTGTGCCTGGATGCACCTTCCTCCTTAAATTTTTTTCTCATAAAACTCTCAGCTCTACCAATCCCTAGTCTACAACTCTCTTTCAGTGAAAAATATCATCCTGTTATTGGCTCTGTTTTTCCACTAGCTTATTCTAAAATACTGAAATCAAACAGAATGTGTATGCATGTCGTTTCCATTATGGGTTTTTTTTTTTACAGTTATGCAGTGCCTTGTCTAACTTCCTAGATTTTGTTTTACTTACTAAGCTTTCTGTGTTTTTCTGACAAAATCCCAGCTTTCTACAGAAGGAATTATAGACCTAAACAATATGCGACTCAGAACTAAAACAACCTTAAAACTCTTTCTCCAGCACCGTACCTATTTATTTTTATATATTAAAAATATATATAAATATATATTAAAATATATATTTACTTTGTTTTAAATGAGTGTCTATGCCCATGAAGCCCAGCTTCTGCCTCATACACCCTATTCTTTTATTTTCAAGACTTTTAAACATTATTTTTATGATAAACCACCTACAAGATTCTCTGCCTTTCAGTGACAGTGTCTGCTGCCAGAAGATAGTACAGTCAAATTCATCATAAAAAAGCCAATAATAGAGTATGTTCTATTCTTTAAGAGAACATTCAACAAGCGATCAAAGATCAGAATTTTGCTTTTTTTTTAATGTCGTTTCTCACGGCTTAGGGTGGGCCCACGGGGAATTTATTGGTTTCGTGTGAGCTTCATAATAGTGCTTGTCCACACAGCTGTGAGTTCAAAGCACACCAGGTTTCTAGCACCAGTATCTCATGTGAACACTCGGCATCCTCACTGTCCTGTGAATCTAACCTTAAATTTCAGTACTTTCTACTGAATTTCAGTGCTTTCTTCTGACCTCTGAATTTCTCAGTGCTCTGGTGAATTGAACCTCTAGATACAGAAAGCAATATTCTGTTTATAAAGTTTTGTGTATGTTGTTCAGCAGGGATGCAAAACAAATGTAGCTAATGCAGTGTAAATTCATACCTGCCTGGAGATGCCCCCAGCATTGTTACAAGTTTAGCATTAGTCTGACTGATTTCAGAATGATTGCTGATCATCACATTTACTTAGCAGGTATAAAAGAACCCTGATTAAAACCATCTTACCCCAGCCTGGAGTTTTCTGATGGAAAAACTTTTTCATTGATAGCAGTTGTTGGTGTGAAAACAGGAAAGATGGGGGAGTAATAAGTTTTGACTAATTATTGAGGATTATCTGAAAACATGAACCAATTCGTTACCCATCAAGGACTGTTCTACCATCAAGAGGATTGATTGGTTGAAAAATGTTTCTGCTTTTAAACTTAATATTTTTCTTAGTGGGAGAAATCTTCTCCCAGATGATCACAGAGGCAACCTGAGGTACATGCAATTGGTGCCTAGATTTTGAAGTGCTTTTCATCAGTAAATTCCAAATCACTTTACGGAGGATGTAGGTATCATTATTACCTACTCAGCAGAGGCAGTGGGAGCAGAGGGAAAACTCACGCACGCAGCTGAGATGAGACTTGCCCAGCATGCTGCAGTGATTTAATATTTTGCCTGAAAATCTGCTTTGATATAATTCAGGAATGTCAAATGCAATTCAGTTCAGCCATTGCATTAAAGTATGTGGATGCGGAGAAGGACCTGCCTTAGAAGCCTGGTTTGCAGTGTTAGTTCAGTGTGGTGAGCGTGTAGATTACTGCTGAGTTAATCATGCATCACTGATGACCAGTTTATAAAGCTTTTGATTTTCTCCCCCCCCCCCCTTTTTTTTTTTTTCTTTCTTTTTTCTGTATATGTTCACTTTTCTAATACAGAATCATGGGTTTTTGCATGGGAATTGAGCTGGCTGGGAATGTC